GAATTCAAATGGTTAAAATCAACTATCAAACGCCAGGATTAATGATGGATTTGCAAGTGAGCGGGTTACTGTAGGGTTGCTGTAAGCTTACCGCAGCTAAATTCTGTGTAGAATTGAATGTACATCTGTGCAGTGGGGAAGGGCTTTTGCTCTGAACGATTTTATGGTCTATTTTGGGCTCATTTTGAAGCTTCGAAAATTGGAGATTAAATTTTCAACTCTTGGGGTTATTAAGGTTTTCTTCCTCAAAGCAATATTTTCTCATTTTAGGAAGGACGTTTTTCCGAAAACGGAGGCTGTGGGTATGTTCTAAAGCCATCGGTGATGAATGAGGATCTATTTGTGGCTGGTGATAAATTACCGAATACTCCTCAGGTGATAAATGTGTGCAAAATTTCGTCTCAAACTTTTTGCTGGAATATTTTTTCAGCTCATTTTTTCCGACAGAAAATTCAGCACAATTAGTTGATACTTCAGATTCTCCACCTACGAGTTCTTTCTGCTCAACAATTGCCACGACCTAGAGGCTCAAATGCTAAGGTATGTAGGAAGCGCATTTCTTCCAAAAAAATTTTTGGGGAAAGAGGGGGGAGGATGGAAAAACAAAACTTTTCCGTATGCAGAGTGCCTTAAATGCCCTCGAAAATCTGTAAAGTCTCAGAAATTTGTGTGTTTGCATTTCTGAATTTTCAAAAATTATTTCCATCATTACCTTTCATTGAGTTACTTGCGCAACTTTCTCTCTAAATATTTTGATATGCACTCGTCGCACCCATCCTAGTTGAAGGACCTTCCCAGCCTTCTAATCCACCACTGAATGGCCATCTCTTTCCTATGAGCATATCACTGTTCCAAGTATTTTAGGGAGATTCTTGCGATCCTTTCGTCGTTGTTGAAGTGTTTGGGATTCCTGGAGATTGTGCTGAGGAACGAACGAAGACCGTAAGGAATGATGGTACGTAAATCAAATGACTAACCAAACTCCATGGAAATGATCTTTATTATATTTTTAGGCCACAATCCATCGTTTGACGAGTCCTTCCAGTTCCAAGTCTCAATACCAGAGCTGGCTCTGGTACGATTTCTTGTGCTTGATGACGAGTTTATAGGTCTGTCATTTTTTCAAAGGAAGATATTAGAGTCAAATCACAGTTTAGAATTATTTTTCATTCCAGGTGATGATTTTATTGGACAGTATACGATACCGTTCGAATGTATGCAGCCAGGTACGGTATTTTGAATTTCATCTTCTTTATTCAATCTGTACATTCAGTCATGGTCACAAACAAATTATACAAAGTATAAAAATAGTTTTAAAGAAAAAATACAAGTTAGGTTAACAATGTTTTATAAATGTCCTCTGGGTGCACTTGGAATTTAACAAAAGTTCAATTTAGATTGAAAATTCCGAAACGGGTTCGGTCGGTTTGAAACAAAAAAATCTAAATATTTTCAAAAAAGTTCTCCACAAAAAGGAATTTTGTCTCCGTATTGGGTGCGGCATCAGTTTGTTCGCTCAAAACAAAGTTCCTATTTTGAGAAAAACCCTTTGATTTTCTTTGAATACTGATTTCTGCCTTTTTATCTGCTAATCAGTCCTATTAATCACATTTTCTTCTCTTAATTACCGCAATATTTTCTGCCTCTTTTCTCATCTCAAAAACTTAAATTCTAGTTTGCTGAAAATGGAAAATTTCAAGTTCTTATTTTCACGTTATGGAATGCAAAAATTAGTTCGGAACTCCGGCATCCTAATGAACAATTTTCGATTTTAGCAGATGTAAAAGTGGATAGTATGCCCATAAAAGAAAATTTATGCACAACCATTTGTCTATTTTACGTCTCCTTATGCAGTTCAGTTATTGTAAATGAATGAGCCACTATTCCTGTCCATGATAATGTTAGCTTTCTTTTTTTTTTTT